CGTGAGTTGGAAGAACTGAGAGGCCTATGGCGTGGGTGTTGTCCTTGGCCACCTGCTGACAAGGCTGACAAGATAGGACCCTTTTGTCCATTGTTATTGGATAGGAACAGAACTTATAACCAGCTCCTGACCTAAATAGATCTTAGCACAACATTTTACTCAACATATCATATTCCATATTCACTATAACAAATATATTTACTACGACATTAGCAAGAACCGCCACATCCTCAGCCGGCTAATCCAGTGTGTGAAGTTTTGCGGAGTGTTTGAGTTAGCTTTGCGAGGCAAAGATGAAACTGAGGGCTCCACCAACCCTGGTAAGCCAACACTTTTGAGATCAGTCAATAAATGCTTCTGGTATTGACTTATATGCTGCCCCTGTCTTCATGTTGTTGCTGGACATATCTTTTTTTAAATGTGTGTAGGTCACCTAAATCATCAGAAAAATTGCCCCCCCTGAGAATTTTTTCAGGAGCCGCCACTGCTACCTTGGCGTTACAAGCGCCATGCTCTACCAGCTGAGCTACAGAAAGTGGATACTCATAATAATAATAATAATAATGGATGCGCATCGCAATTGTAAAATGTCAACACAATTGGAGACACCACGTCATTTTTGGAGACATGTTATTGACAGTAAACTATTGTAGATGCGACTGCTAACTAAATAAAACATTTTAGCTGGCTAGCTAATCATCTTAGCTAAATGTGGGGCAAACAATTCAGTTATTTACCGTTAATTTGAGGGATTGGGGTGAAAGAAATTGAGTTACATAGTGATACTTTACGATATACTGTATTGACAATATCGCAATATTTTAGCGCTAGTTGGCTGTACCTGCACCAAAACACCATTATTGTTCCTTCATAGCTTGTTCTCAATCTTTTCACATTGGGAGCCAATTTGTTTTCAGCACTTTTATTTCCATGACTGATCAAAACTCGTTCTCATGGCTTTCTGATCCCTCTGCAACAGACATATGGTGCGCAATAAAATCACAGTATCGAATCGCAATTCGTATAGAATCATGAGACTCGCAATGCTGATGCATATATCTTATCGTGAGGTTCCTGGCAATTCCCAGCCCAAGTTCATTTGCCACAACAAATCTCTTCGCTAGCAAACGCGATGTCTTCTCCAAAACGGCAATGTGTCTCCAGCAATGTTTACTTTTTTGACGTTCTATGGCATCTCCACTTTCCAAGCATATATGATCACATGTAATATTTTGGTAAGTGATGCAAATAGTGAACTATGTAGGGCCAGGATGTAAAATATATGTAGCTGCAGCAATTTCTCTTATCTGATATGGTAAGTAATGGGGCTTAATTTATAGCTCCCTAAGAGTTTGACGAACGGGTCCGTGCACACGATTCCAGATATCTTTACCTCTGAATAAACTGCCTTTATTATATCATATCCACCCTGTCCAAAGTCTCTACTTGGTCTCAGTTCTCCAGTAAACTTGTGATTATCAACACTAACCTCATCGTTGTGGCGGCGGACAGCTAGCCTGTATCCCTCATCAAGTTGAGTGGCAATGTTATTTTTCCGTTCGTACCAATTTTTGGAAAATCCTCGGGTGTAGGACTTTCCGCCTTTAGTAGAAACCTGTTGAATTATTAAATTTGGTCTGGGAGGTCCTAATTGTTTCGTTGCCAATTTATCTTCATTTGTTCGCCGACAAAAAGGAACTTCTTTCAAAGACACAATCCGCTCTTTTCTCAGTTACGTTCATGGTTACGTTACGTATGACGAAAGCGCGTAAGTGCAAGCCCTCAGACACCCATAGAGATTGTATTGAAGGCTCTGAAATTTGAAAAAAATAGATTTTACATTAGAGGCTATGAGAGACTTCTGGGCGATTTTCAACCTGACTGAAATCGGCCCAAAAGGGGGGGGGGGAGCCATTTGAAGCACGACTTTAGCCTGATTCGACATTTAGTGGCAGTGTGGCACTGTGGCAGATCAGACGTATAGATTACAACACTGATAACTACTGTTGCCGTGATATAATTGATTAGAAAAAAAATCCCTTCCTTTTCCCGTTTGGCAGTGCGTCGCCCATATCGCCCTATTGAACAGGCCGCCCCTGCCTATACCTTTGTATCTCTTGGATTTCCCTAGTTATTGCCCTCGTTTGGAAATATCATGTCATATAGTGTAAAATCATGTAATATAGTACACTGAGTGTACAAAACATTAGGAACACCTGCTATTTCCATGACATAGACTGACCAGGTGAATCCAGGTGAAAGCTATGATCCCTTATTGATGTAACCTGTTAAATCCACTTCAATCAGTGTAGATGAAGGGAAGGATTTTCAAGCCTTGAGACAATTGAGACATGGATTGTGTATGTGTGTCAATCAGAGGGTGAATGGGCAAGACAAAAGATTTAAGTGCCTTTGAATGGGGTATGGTAGTAGGTGCCAGGCACACCGGTTTGAGTGTGTCAAGAACTGCAACGCTGCTGGGTTTTTCCACACTCAACAGTTTCAGGTGTGTATCAAGAATGGTCCATCACCCAAAGGACATCCAGCCAACTTGACACAACTTTGGGAAGCATTGGAGTCAAGATGGGCCAGCATCCCTGTGGAACGGTTTCGACACCTTGTAGAGTCCATGGCCCGGTGAATTGAGGCTGTTCTGAAGCCAAAAGGGGGTGCAACTCAATATTAGGAAGGTGTTCCTAATGTTTTGTACACTCAGCGTATTCTGTTTTGAAATGCCCTGCCCTATAGGGCATATAGGCATTAGGTAACTATTCTAATGTTATCATCATTGCACGTAACATACATAACCCCTCCAGGAGGACCCCTCCTACAGAGGTTTTACCCCATGTAATCATCAGTGCTTGACTTGGACTGAAACTTTTGCATTTTAGATAATTAGCAACTTTTCAACTACTTACTACTTTTTAGGTACTTTGCAACTACTTAGCATGTTAGCTAACCCTTCCCCTAACCCTAACCTTAACCCTTTTAGCTAACTCTTCCCCTAACCATAACCTTAACCCTTTAACCTAACTCCTAAACTTAACCCTAACCTTAACCCGTAACCTGTAACCCCTCACCCTAACCCCAGCCTAGCTAACGTTAGCCAGCTTGTTAACGTTAGCCACCTAGTTAAAATTCGTAACATATCATACATTTCGCAAATTCGTAACATACTGTATAGTACATTTTGCCAATTGATAACATATAATATGAATTGTAATTCGTAACATATCATACGGAATGGGTGATGGATTTCCACAAATTAATACATACCATATGAAACGTAACATATCATACTAAATGGAGTGTCTCGGATTTACGTACGGAATAATACTAAATGCTCTGTGACCAGGTTGACATACAGTACTATGTGCATGGCAGAATAGTGTAGTTAGTAACTGTGTGTTATATCATACACTCTATGATGCCAAATATGATTGAAGACAACAATGCAACTGGAAGCATCTCCTGTAACATTCCTTAATAGCCGTAGCCAGGGGAGGGAGGTAAAGAAGTGCTCCCTCCCAGACATATTTCAGTATACTAATCTTTCTTCACCAAAGGAGGAGAGAGGGATATAAGAAGATGCCCATTCTGCTGATTTGATGAGTAGAGGTGGGAGAGGAGGAGGAGGCACAGATGGGGAGGGATTGAATTCTCATCTTTACTAATGCACCAGGTTGATTCCAGAGTAATCTTTTATTTCTTCTCAGCAGCTGAAAGCTACTATAATCCAATATTTACAATCCCAGAGTGAGAGGGTATGTTTTTCAGCACGGATCTATAAACCCATTACTAACAGGACTGCAGAGCTATTTATAAACCTAGAGGGGTTGTTTTTTTCTCCCAGGTCTATCATGGGGTTGTATATTTTCCTGGTCCTCTTTGTCTTGCCTGCAGTATAGTCTCTATACCAGAGTTCCCCCCACAAACACATATAGAACCATCTCCCCAATATGACACCTCACTGTTTTCCGTAACATGGATCTTTAAAAAAAACATTAGCATAAAATAATGCATGGATTCCAGCCATAACCGAACATAATCCATGAGTCATGATTTGCAATGTTATCTCCCACAGTATTTCTATTTACAGTATGTTCCTCTTTTTATAAATTAGGACAAATATAGCCAATTGTGTCATAAATTACTATAGTCATAAGGGCAGGACTGCATAATACTATTCCAAATGACTGTCATTAACATGCCAGATAAACATCTGGCTGTGAAGCTGAGATTTCTAGGTCAAGGTGGTTGATCGCTATCATTACTACTACAGACAGCGAACAGCCTGTCAAAGGAATTTACATTTAGATGATCTTATCTGTTGGACTGAGAGAGAGGAGTGTGCCAGCCTGGGAGGGAGAGAGGGAGGGAGGGAGGGAGGGAGGGAGGGAGGGAGGGAGGGAGGGAGGGAGGGAGAGAGGGAGAGAGGGAGGGAGGGAGGGAGGGAGGGAGGGAGGGAGGGAGAGAGGGAAAGAGGGAAAGAGGGAAAGAGGGAGAGAGGGAGAGAGGGAGGAGGGAGAGAGGGAGGGAGGGAGGGAGGGAGGGAGGGAGGGAGGGAGGGAGGGAGGGAGGGAGCAGGGAAACTGTAAAGTCGCTCTGGATAAGAGTGTCTGCTAAATGACTAAAATGTAAATGTAAAATTAACATTAATTTTAATCTACTGTATGAGGGATAGCTAGCAATCTGTTTTCTACTCAACGTAATGTAATGTAATGCAAAACATTCTCTCAGATTTCCAATAGCTAACATGAAATGTTCAACCCCTCATGCAGTGTCAATGCAGTGCAGTGTTTTGTGCTGTTGTACACTGGCAACATATAGACTGGTGCAGAACAGCAAAACCAAGAACTAAAGAACACAATACTCACTTAATCCATCTCCTCTGTAATCCAGTGACCCAGTAGAGCACGACTTCCAAAGGGCCAAAGCTAATTGTTTTTATTTCTAATTAGGGACGATCTTATCGAATATTTCTGTAGTGAATCAAACAGATGTCCCTTAGTCCTGCTGACGCTGCAGCAGGTCTCCAGACTGGCTTTGTGACTAACATAGCTGTTTCCCTGCTCCCTCTCTCTCTCTCTCTCCCTCCCTCCCTCCCTCCCTCCCTCCCTCCCTCCCTCCCTCCCTCCCTCCCTCCCTCCCTCCCTCCCTCCCTCCCTCCCTCTCTCCCTCCCAGGCTGGCACACTCCTCTCTCTCAGTCCAACAGATAAGATCATCTAAATGTAAATTCCTTTGACAGGCTGTTCGCTGTCTGTAGTAGTAATGATAGCGATCAACCACCTTGACCTAGAAATCTCAGCTTCACAGCCAGATGTTTATCTCTGAACGAACCACAAAAAAACAGCTTTTTAGGAAGCATCAGAGGTGGCACTGGTCCTCTGGGGTTCTGTGTGTCCGGGTGAACGTCACTGGAGAGAGAGGCCATGAACGGTCACTTACTGTACAATCGGACAGTCAAGGGCAGTCATTCAGGTGTATTCCCTTAGCCCTGTGGAGGCATACGGTCTACTCAGCAGTACTATGGATGGTATTATTGTCTAAAGAATAACTCATTCTACATTGTTTGTGGGGCTAAATCACCTCTCACTTGTGTTTACAATGTTAAATTTGCTTACCACAGCAATAAGTTACCAACTACTAATTCAACTATTAACGTCATTGTATTTTCACTGACAATGTCTTTTCATGTGGGGCTATGTTGGGCTAAGTGATTTGCTCTCTTGCTGTGTGCCTCAGGATGGTGATAGTGACAGCACACCTCTTTGTGTGAAGAACAGGTCCGCCTTTGAGCACCAACATCATCACCTATTGCACTGCTTGGAGAAAACCACCGTGAGTGCTCCTTTTTTGCCTTGGAAATGTTTAAAGTATCTCATGGATCATTTTGTCTGATATAACTTTTTATTCAAGGTTATCACTCACTTTGATGTACTTTATGCACATTCAGCAGTGTTACACTTATGATGTTTCACACTTTCAGCAGTTATGAGCAGCTATCATATTACAATTAGAAAAACTGTATTGTTCACGCAATGTAGAAATTTGTCTTTGGGCTTTACCACTTAAAAACAGACATTAAACACCATCAGGAGAACATCATCCTCGAGCTATAGCATGCAGCAACCTACAGCTAGTTCAAAGCTGTGAGGCTGTTCAGAGGCATTTTTTTTCTTTAAAATCCCATTGAGACACAGAGTCTCTTTTGCAAGGGAGATCTGGCCAAGAAGGCAGCAGTAGGCAATACATTATCCAAATGTAACACAATCCAGCCTACAGGAAACATTTACACTCCTCCTGAACAGCTTTGCACCAGAGTTTTAAACTCACTGTCTTCCTTTCTTGTATGTGTCTACAGAATCACGAGTTCACAGATGAAGTCACATACAGCGAGGTGTGTATGACCGACTCAGTGGGCTTCCGCACCAGCCGCAGCACTTCGCTGTCCAGCCAGCAGGGGGCCACCACCACCTGCTGCTCCCGCCGGGCCAAGAGGAGGGCCATCCGCCTTGCCAACTCCACTGTTTCTGTCAGCCGGGGCAGTGTGCAGGAGCTGGACACGCTGCACATCACCAAGACTCCTGCTGGTACCCAGTACCCACAGAGGTACTGTATCGCACACACTATCCACCTGATCCAAGGAGCCCACCTCTCCCTTTCTATCTTTGCCCCACCACTGATTCACCTGTAGAGGCTGTTGATGTTTTAGTATATTTTGCTCCGGCCGATTCATTGAAAATAACATTCTGCTGATCCTGAATTACGAGCTGAGGCAAAGTTGTTCAAGCTCTGCTGGCTCTAACTATTTTGATGCTGTTGATGTTTGTCAAAACAACCTCCATGGGTTTAATGAGAAATGTACTGGTAGCCTAAAACCATGCAAAAAATGTTTTTGCATTTGTCACTGTAGCATGACTAATGATAGTTTATTGTTTAGAGAAACAGTCGATAATGGTGAGATTGCGCTTGCATTTTTATACATAGTTGTTGTAGATGGATGTATCACTTTACAGAGAGTGGAAGAACAAATTACCTGTCTAGAATACACTGATCTACTTACAATGATTACACATAAAAGTCCTCTCAAAATAAACAAGTTGACTATTAAGGGGAATATTGGCGTGCATTGTCTAACTTGATTTGTGTGTGTGTCTGAAAAGTCGCTCCAGTCTAAATGCCAGGACTGAAGACCTGAAGCTGAACTGTGATGACTACACAGCAGCCATCATCAGTATCCCCACTCCCCCAGCCAACACTCCTGATGAGAGCCTACCTAACTCGCCCGCCATCCCTGGCATCCTACGCAACTCTCGCTCCAGTACCTATAACACCCAGGAAACTGTCAAGATCTCTTCTTTATAACCCCCTGAAGCACAGGAACTTGACCCATTGCACAAAAGAAGAGGAAGGGGAAGATCATCGGAGAAGAACATGGGAAAGAAGGACTTTCAAGGATGATACCTTACACACTCTTTGCAAATGCTTCACTCCAATACCAACTTAATGTCTACTGAATAGTCGAGGTAGGGCTAGCGTGAAAAAAGCTAATTTATTCATTAATTTGATTTGAATCATCCATGTGATATGCTGGAAAAGCTACTGTGAGGTTGACCTTTTGGTCTAGGATCACAGAGACTCACAGAGACTCTGAGCTGCGCAGGAACAGATGACAGCGTGTGAAACAGGAATCTACATGCCGCTTGGACTCAGAACGGACACATATGGATGGTGTGGTTGGTAAGAGTGTTTTTCAACAATAATATACCCACCGTGGCATCGAAGGCCTTTTACTTTTCAAGATATGCAATGTTAGAACAAGCAGGAAAAACTAATATACATAATGTGTGTACAAAATTGCAGGGAGAGATTATAAAGATGATGAATAATTATAAAATGATATTGATATATAAATACATCTTTACAGACAGAAATATGAATACTGTATTCTGCAATAGATTTCTTCACACAAATTCAATGAAAATAAAGGAGTGATCGTTAGATGGTAGTACACATGTAACATAGTTTGTATCATACGTCTCTAAATCACATGCATCTTCAAACCTTACCAAAAAATGTCAGTGTACTGACTAGCTTAATACAGCAGTGCATGTTCATGTACAGTAGATGGTGGAGAATAGAACTACTGATATTAGTGATATCAGATATGACTAGCTCATCAGTTTTTTGCATGGTACCTTATTCTTTCCCTCAGAACAGTTAGTTTTATTAATTTTTTCTGACAACATTGTAAAGTAATAATGATGTCAAGTGCTGCACCAGAAGTGTACATTAGGTTAAAAAAAAAAAAGTATTAAATAAAAACATTGAGGCATGTTCCTCGCCAGAATGCAAAGTGGGTGAGTATGATTGTGTGATCTGTGTGTGTGGTAGGTTGGGTGGACTTGTGTTTATCGATCACAAATATGCATGGATACCGTTGTAGGTATTGTACGTGTTTTTTTTCCTTGGAAAATAAAATGTAGAGGAGGGATTCAACAGCATCCATTGTCAATGACAAAGAAATTATGGAGAAGAGGCTACCAGTAAGAAAAGTTCACAGTTACCTTTCATTGACTTCTCTTATCATCACATTGTCATTCAGTTCAGACCCTTCTGTAATATTGTGTTACAGGTTTACAGTGAGGGAAAAAAGTATTTGATCCCCTGCTGATTTTGTACGTTTGCCCACTGACAAAGACATAATCAGCCTATAATTGTAATGGTAGGTTTATTTTAACAGTGAGAGACAGAATAACAACCACAAAATCCAGAAAAACGCATGTCAAAAATGTTATAAATTGATTTGCATTTTAATGAGGGAAATAAGTATTTGACCCCTCTGCAAAACATGACTTAGTACTTGGTGGCAAAACCCTTGTTGGCAATCACAGAGGTCAGACGTTTCTTGTAGTTGGCCACCAGGTTTGAACACATCTCAGGAGGGATTTTGTCCCACTCCTCTTTGCAGATCTTCTCCAAGTCATTAAGGTTTCAAGGCTGACGTTTGGCAACTCGAACCTTCAGCTCCCTCCACAGATTTTCTATGGGATTAAGGTCTGGAGACTGGCTAGGCCACTCCAGGACCTTAATTTGCTTCTTCTTGAGCCACTCCTTTGTTGTCTTGGCCGTGTGTTTTGGGTCATTGTCATGCTGGAATACCCATCCACGACCCATTTTCAATGCCCTGGCTGAGGGAGGAGGTTCTCACCCAAGATTTGACGGTACATTGCCCCGTCCATCGTCCCTTTGATGCGGTGAAGTTGTCCTGTCCCCTTAGCAGAAAAACACCCCAAAAGCATAATGTTTCCACCTCCATGTTTGACGGTGGGGATGGTGTTCTTGGGGTCATAGGCAGTATTCCTCCTCCTCCAAACACGGTGAGTTGAGTTGATGCCAAAGAGCTCGATTTTGGTCTCATCTGACCACAACACTTTCACCCAGTTCTCCTCTGAATCATTCAGATGTTCATTGGCAAACTTCAGACGGGCCTGTATATGTGCTTTCTTGAGCAGGGGGACCTTGCGGGCGCTGCAGGATTTCAGTCCTTCACGGCGTAGTGTGTAACCAATTGTTTTCTTGGTGACTATGGTCCCAGCTGCCTTGAGATCATTGACAAGATCATCCCGTGTAGTTCTGGGCTGATTCCTCACCATTCTCATGATCATTGCAACTCCACGAGGTGAGATCTTGCATTGAGCCCCAGGCCGAGGGAGATTGACAGTTATTTTGTGTTTCTTCCATTTGCGAATAATCGCACCAACTGTTTTCACCTTCTCACCAAGCTGCTTGGCGATGGTCTTGTAGCCCATTCCAGCCTTGTGTAGGTCTACAATCTTGTCCCTGACATCCTTGGAGAGCTCTTTGGTCTTGGCCATGGTGGAGAGTTTGGAATCTGATTGATTGATTGCTTCTGTGGACAGGTGTCTTTTATACAGGTAACAAGCTGAGATTAGGAGCACTCCCTTTAAGAGTGTGCTCCTAATCTCAGCTCGTTACCTGTATAAAAGACACCTGGGAGCCAGAAATCTTTCTAATTGACAGGGGGTCAAATACTTATTTCCCTCATTAAAATGCAAATCAATTTATAACATTTTTGACATGCGTTTTTCTGAATTTTTTCATTAAAATTATAGACTGATAATTTCTTTGTCAGTGGGCAAACGTACAAAATCAGCAGGGGATCAAATACCTTTTTCCCTCACTGTAAGTGTATGCAGCCCATTGATGGCTGTGTAATTCACAAACAACCTTTCTGTTAAACATGCTAACATATCGGTGCTGCTACTGTACTTTACTGGACTTTACTATTGTCATGGCTCCAGTTCTGTTTATGAGATCTGGTGTTTGCAATAACTGTTGTAATTATTTTACCGCAAACTTTGGCAATCCTACTTTTTTTTCTCTAATTATTATTATTTGCATAATATTGCAATTAATATTTATCTGTAACTGTGCACTACAGCTGTTCTAAAGTTACTTTAGTATTTATTAATATAATGCAGATAGGAATAGAGTAATGAGCACTATGGCAACCTCACATATATTTGCCAACATTAATTTCCAAACATATATAGCTATATGAATCACATTATTTACACAATGTCATTTTCTCATGGAAGTGATAACAGATGAGTAAAGTTGTTTCATATGCTTTATATATGTATGTTGTATGAATACAACAAATGTTTGAGTGGAAGATGATGTTGTAATTATAAGAACCTTATACATACCACTTCAAATAAACTGTTACCCTGACCCAATGATAAGTGACCAGATGTGTAGGCTCAGGAGAGGTGGCACCAGCCAGTACTCATGTCAGCAATAGAGATGCACTGATTCCCTAGAGGACGATGAGAGAAAGAGATCAAAAGCACAGAGGTGTATATTCTATTCCACAAATAAAGCAAGAAGAAATCAGAAAATTGTGTTGCCTTTAATTTTCAGTCTCCCAAAAAGAGAGGGGATACACACGTTGTTCCAGTGCCTCTTTCCCTGAATAATGGTGGTATGTTTCTATTTTACCCATAATCCCCTCTATGGTAAGATTTCATTTGAGAAGTCCCCAGTAGGGGAGGCTACAACATGTGATGTAAAATATCTCCCTTTCACCTTTACACTCAAATTACGGTAGACAAATGATGACATTACCCCAACAGTTTATTACTAATTGATTCATTTCAATTATCAACAGTCTGTTTTCATAGATAGTGCAGAATAAATACCTTACAGTGAAAATCTCAAGTACAGTATGCTTAGTTTAAGCCCACTGTATGATCTGACCATAATATGACCTGTGTTGAGTAACCCTGTCCATCTCTGCGTGTATGGACCGGAACAGCGTTCTGTCTCTGTATGTTTTATATGTCTGTCTGTCTTAATCCTCCTGACATTGGCTCTGACCTTTGTAGTGGCACTAACCTATGTAAAATTACATCACTAATCTGATTTGTGGTATTGACATCCAAGGGCAGCTAGCTAGAGAATGACTGAATGGGTTTTACGGCTTCACTCATATTGCACTTGCTCCACAGTATTAGCCTTCACAATAGCTAGAGTATAAGCCTCAAGTTCTTATTCCTAAGATTAGCCCTCATTACATAAACATTTTAGCAGACGCAGAGCAAATTACAGAAGCAATCAGGATTAAGTGGGCACATTAACAGATTTTTCACCAAATCGGCTCAGGGATTCGAACCAGAAACCTTTCAGTTACTGGCCCAATTATCTTAACATCTAGACTATCAGTGTCACCATATTTACTGTGGTGTCAGTATAGCCAATTTTATATATCCTCATATTTCATATTATACCTAAACCTTAAAAATGAAATAAATCAATAACAAACAAAAATGAGATGGCGAGATAGAGACGTATCATATATTTATTATAAGAGTTCATCTAAATTACAAGTTCAATTTAAGAACATCCAATACCTATGTGAAAAAGAACTGTCAGTACGTCGGCTCACTAAGATGGAAGATATGCTTTCTGTTAGCAAAGATATCGCTCTGTGGTCTGTGTTTTCTCATCAAATGTGAGCAGGCTGTTCATTGCACAAGAGTACTATGATAATCAGCCAAGTAGACGTCCAAACATTTCTCTAACACATGTTGGCTACTAAGTTACATCAAAAGGGAATAATTAATTAACATATTCATGATGCATTCTTTGAAATCATCAGTCATATTGCTGATGATTGCAACAGGGGAAAGTTGCAGAGTACATTTGTTCTTTAAAAGTACACTTGGATGACTGATAGGCCTACTCATAATCTGATGACGTGTCCTCCCACTAGGCACGCACTGGTTGAATCAACGTTGTTTCCACATAATTTCAATGAAATGACGTTGAACCAACGTGGA